GGTATTTGGGGGGGGGGGGGACAGCCTTCCACTATTCCTGAATTATGTGTATCTTTTTATCTGTCATTTTATTTTAAACCTGGATGGATTTCTTTGCTGTGGGATCTTAAGCATTTAGAAAGCCCACACTGGGCGTGATACCCTAGTGCTAAAGATCATGCGACGATGCCTTTGAAGCTAGAATAGCATTCCGCCACTCAAGACATGGCAGAACAAGGAAGTATCTTTTCCACATATGAAAGCTAACTGGAGGGGCCGATAAATATTCTCTTTATACTGAAAATGATTGGCGTTCTCCATCAAGCCTGAAGCTAGGAGGACCGGTTGAAGGGATGAAGAATTAAACCTACAACACATGAAGCAGCATGTTGCTATTATCAGTTGAGGTTCCTGCCTCTATCTAATGATAGACCCAGTCTTGTCCCACAGCTATTATCCTAATGGGTATGTGGTTAAAAAAAGAGGAAAAAAAGTCAGAGGAGACACTGACTGGTTATTGCCTGCTTGCCTGATGTTGTCTAGCCGTACTTTTGCTAGCGGTTTCATTGGCTAACAGCATATACTCATGGACTTCATAATGCATGACTCACCAGGAAAGAATGTGATGGGATGTATATCCAAAACCACAGGTTACTGAAAGTACCATGCTCCAGATATGCAAAAAGCGCATCCGTTGCTCATCCAGGTGATCATTTTACCCATTCTCATCGCATAGCTTTTAACAGGATACATCCCATATACTTCCCCAGCTCCACAACTGGCTCAAAATGGGCACCCAATTTACCCCAATTTTACCTCTGCCAGAAAAACATGATTTCCTGCCGGCTGTTTTACAACCTTGATCTCCCTGAGAAAGTGAAGATGCTCCATGAGAGAGAGGAGACCCCCCCCAAAAAAGTTCAATTTTCCTCTCCCTCTCACTTACTCAATTTATGTAAGTAGTTTAATAGAATTGAATTACAAATGCACGGACTCAACAAACAGACTAAGCTAAGGGGGTAGACTTCATCGCATGACCACTGGAGAAGTTTAAGTGCTCCAGCCTGATGACCTGCCATTTTAAGACTATGAGCCGGATCCTAAGGTGTCCTTCTGCTTGTCATTCCTTGCACTACAAAAAAAGTGCAGAGATGCTGTGTTCACACACCATCCATAGAAACCTCTGTTGTAGAACTCTCAGTCCTTCAATGATTGACAAGTAGAGTTGGCACTTATTTTTCTTCGGCTTGTGATCCTTTGGATTCAGTCTTATCACTCTGCATATTTTCTGAAGTCTTCATTAAGGAAACACCTACAGTTGGGAGCTGTGAAACCCTGCTCAATCATTACTCTTTCATTCAATGATGTCAATATAATATAATAGGGAATAAGCCTCTGAGTTCTATAGCTCGTGGCACAGGATTTCGGCGGTCTCGTGAGCAAATGTGTTTACAAACTCCACTAGAATGTTTTTCATTAAGCCTTAAAGTCAATCAAGCTGCGAATTGGAACAATCATTCCTTCTTTGCAAAGTATTGATATTTTTTTTTTTTTTCCTGGCTGCTTTAGGGCCTTGGCTATTACTCAGAGATTTATGCTTGACAATGTCTTTCTGATTAAAATGAATCAAAGGTCTGAAATTCTAATTTCCTTTTTGGAGGAAGAGGTGGTTCTGGTTTTTGCAGCCAAGAAATTAACACGCAGTTCTAAATTATTACCAAATTCTCAAGCACAACTGCAGCCAGAGATGAGTGAATCTATCAATGTGGGTTTCACTCCATTACACTTTCTTACCCTAAGTACATGTCAGGCTATTTCCTATTAGTGAATTTGGATAGAGAGGGAGAAATATATACAAACATTTGTAAGGCCTGGGGGAGTGAGGGGGTACACTTCTGTTCTCATATATCTGTTTTGCACATACTTTAGGATATTATTATTATTATTATTATTATTATTATTATACAGACAACAATGTGAAATCACAGCTGCAGTTCTTTAGCTAGTGTTGGCCTTCATTCACATCGAGTTCTTCCCAAGAACCAAGGATGTCGTAATGTATCGACATAATGTGTGTGGATCCAAGCAGTGTGGCCTTTTATAATTGACACATGGGAATTTTGTCACTGCGCAGATTTTCTAAGTGCTGGCCAAGGTTTTTTTGGTGTGGCACTCAGTATGCCGATAACCCCCGGGACCACCATTGCTGGTTTATGCCATAATCTTTCAACTTCAGTTTTCAGGTCTTGATACTTTATGATCTTCTCCAATTCTTTGTCTTCTATTCTACTATCCCCTGGTACTGCCACATCAATTATCCAAAGTTTCTTCTTTTATTTGATGATGATGATGATGATGATGATGATGATGATGCAGATTCAATATTTTAACCCACCTGATCTTCCCCAGGATTGAAGTTAACAGGGAACATCCACTGACGGCAACTACTGTTCAAATGTACATGGAGTAGCTCCAGGAAACGAAGCCCAAAAACATATATTTTCCATACTGCATTGTCTTCTTTTTAGAATGCAAGAGAGATGTTTGGTAGGAATGGCTCCATGTTCACTGTACTTATGGAAGCCTGACTGAAGTCAACTTCAGCAAACACTACATCTTTTCAAAGCTCACTTTCATGCTGAATTTTTATTTTTTATTTCTTTTTACTTATTTTCCTCTAAAGAGATTAATTTTGTCACAAGAAGGGGAAAAGCATGCTTGTGTCTAATTTGTACAGGTTGTACTTCATGAATCTCTTTAAAAGAATCTTGTTTAAAATTCTAATTCCTGTACTCTGATCTAGTGGACTTTGTGTTCTGAAGAACAATTACCCTTTCTATAGTTTTCTATGCGGTCTTAAGATGCTGTCTCTGTAACATTAAAGTTATCAATCCAAGTGCTAGCTAATAAATCTCCTTTGGCTGTCAAAATAAACCGACCAATGGCATCAGAGGCATAGCAAGCTAATCAGTCATTGGTGGAGGAATACAGGTTAAAGAAAATATATTTGATGAGAAATCCACTATAACAGACTCTTAATAGAAAGTGTTGGTGAACCAACAGATCTACGCTTGACTCAGAATTTCAAAAACAGTGCCATTCTATTACAGTTAGACCATGAATCTATTACAAATAAATTTGCCTTTTTCAGTTTAAGTAGCTTTTCTTTATCTTCCTCCCAAGATTACTTCCAACTGATGTAAATTTTGAACATCAACTAATTCTCTCCTACTTACACAATTCAAATAATTGAAGTTCAGTAATAACTTATTCTTTCTGCTCCAGCACCTGCATTTCATTTGTGTATTTTACCAGAGTCATAAATCTGAGGAATTGTCAAAGTGCCATAATATTAGTGTAATCATCAAAGTTAATTAGTCCTTCTCAATAAACAACAGCAATCCCATTACAAAGATACACTGAAAGTACTCCAGCTATGCTAAGATTAAACAGTATTGTGAACAATTAGGAGTGGGAAATGGTTAATAAAGAAAGTGCTCCACTTCTAAAGCTATTCAAAGTAAAGGCAATGCAAAACCTTTGTTTTCTTGTTCACTCCAAGGAATGCAACATTCATATTGCACTGATTACCTTGTCACACTGAACACGAGTGTGGCCTTCTGAAAGAAGAGCTTCACACCCTCTTGGGTAAACCAACACATGAGAGGACTATAGTCTCTAGCTGCAACAGGAACTGCTGCTAAACATGGGATTTCTGCACAGGTGTCTAAATAGTTTTCATCCAACGTTGACTTTTTATTAAAACACACACACACCACAGATGGAGCACTTCCACCTATTCTCTTAGATCTCTGGCTACCTGAAGAATAGTTCCTCAACCATGTTAGATAGGAATTAAGTGAGTTTAATTTCAATAATTCTGGAGAGCATCAGGTTGGAAAGTAGAACTAGATGTTGTCGTGAGGGTTGTATGGTGTATGTTCAGTCCCCCTAATGAACTCAAGGAAGATATACTCAACCATATGAAGGTGACAGAACATTTTCACAGGACAGGTTCCATGTCAAGATTTGAAATACACTTCACGTGGACTGGGGTCCTTCATAGATTTCCAGTATATTTCACCCACACTATTGCCCTTAACCCAATGTATTTAAAGTTATGCAGTACTACTGAAAGTACATTCTGCAGCAGTTGAGACTTGGGTTCTCTTTATTAAAAATTAAGTCTGTATCTCCATCTAGTTTTAGTCTAAATATTAAACTTTGTAACTGCCTATATTGCTATCAAAGTGTCAAAGGAATCATATATTCCACCCTTCTTTATCCTCTTTTCATCTTCTGTCTTCAACTGCACTAATTTAGTCTCCACTTCAAATTATAAACTTTGTCAGAATAAGGGCCCATCTCGTGATTCCAAACATCTCCAGTGAAATAAATCATATATGAGGAATGAGAGAGTCTTCTCAGTGGTGGGATCCAACACAGGGATATTTCCTCCATGGATAGAACCATCAAGGGTAGTTGTTTCCTTTCCAGCCCAAAATCAGACCACTGATACTCAGGCATTTTAATTACCTGATTTGCTCATTTTTATGTCTCTAAATTTTCTTAATGTAATTTTACTCTCATTCTTAAGTGGCATTTGTTTTTACAACATTATGCATATCACCCTTGGAGCTTAGGAGTCCGAAGCAGGAATCTGTGAGCATTTACAAGCTTTAAACTGTAAATGTACATATTTATAAAGCACATGTCCTTACCCATTCTTTCAAGATCCGGCACACGGCCTCATCAGCTTGTGAGGGGTTTCGGCAAGCAAGAATGACATGTGCACCATGAAGTGCAACGGATTTTGCAGTTTCAAAGCCTGCCACAAAACACACATCAAGAAGATACAGTAAGAAACACAACATCAGATCAGCAGGGAAATATATCTGCCTGGGTCCTAACATAGTTACCCTAACTCATTTAGTATTCGTTGGAAATGTTTATCCCCCTGACTCATCAAATTTCAAGCCTACTTACAAAATCTGGAACCAGTACAAAACAAAGTCAAGTTAAATGCAAAGATATATAATAAAAATAGCAGTGTTAAACTTGGCAATCAGCTTTTTCCTGCTTCAGATATGAATTAGTGTGATTAACTATTGCTCTTTTATCCATTTTATCCACTTCCTTTGAGATTTTTCAATTAGTTTTTTTTTTTTAATGCTTTAGCTATCATTTTAAATATTATACAGACTTTGGGAGCAGAGTTACTTTGAGTATACTAAGGAATGAGAAGGCAGTATAAAAGCACTGAAAATAAATGAATAGAACAAAAGCCAGCGCAAATCAACACTCATCCAACTATTTAAAAACTGTCAACGTCTTTAGTACATGAATTAATCTTATACCTCAGTTAGTGCCAAACATCCCACACTTGGGGAGTCAACTGAGAAAAAGAACCTGTTCCTAAACCTATCCATTAGGGTCGTGCAAAGTATCTTATGCTCAGAACAACTGCTCTGAGTTAGAAATGGGATGTTGCAATGCTGTTTCGACTATTCCAGCAATGTATCAAGATGCTCAAAATAGATGCTTTGAGCTTGAACTGAGGTCAAAATACTTTTCAGAATGATCAGGATGACTTTGGGACACTTTGGGAAAGTTTGGGACAGCTGTTTGAAGTTGTAACAGAATATTTTGAACTTCAAATGCAGCATTTTTGCTCAGTATGCTTCAAATGCAAATATGGTATTATCCACCACTACCCACATAAACAGGACAACCAAAGCAGAATCAACATAAGGGCTCATGCAGAAGAACACATACCTAGGAGGCATCTAAAATGCCCTGGGACCTTAGCCAACAGCTAAGGGATCATGGGCAAGGAAGCTTCTGAGATGAGTCACCTGAAGCATTTGTTTGCTACAGTTGTCATGTTTCCCCATCCTCTCCTAAGGCCAACCTGCTATCTCCCATCACCCGATGGTCAAATTGCCACCATTGTCTGCTTTTCTTCCATCTTGTAATTTATCACTGCCACCCTCATTTCATCACCTAGTCCCCTCTTTCAGGGCCCTGATTACTCCTTCTCTCCAAGCTCCATTTTCTCCATTTGTGCGTTTTTCTAAAAAATGCATTTCATTCAATCAGCATACCACAGTATGAAATGGAATCCTTTCTCTCCTGGTTGTCACATTTCAAACCATTTCATGCATCACAAAGCAAGATGAGCAATGAAGCCAAGAACATATCTACTAAAAGTAACTTACCCAGTGACTTCAAACTTGCTCATTAAAAAATAAAAAATAAAAAATAGAAAAATCCTAAGATCCCAAAAATTTCAGTGCTTCCCTCTGCTGGTTTTGGTAATAAAGAATGCCTAATTGATAGCAGAATTAGACTGATATTTAGAGGGCTCTTGCAAGATGTAGTACTGAGTATTCCACCCAGGGCTAGTCATCCTTACTTACGATATTCCCTTTTCTAAATTATTACTTCTATTTCATCTTCCTGCCCAGAGTTTTCTTTTCTTTCCCCTCCAAGTTCGTTGGAGAGGTCCACGCTCATTAGGCTATTCCAATTACTTGACCTTTCCAAATTCCCACTTCCCACCAGTTCTGGAGTTTTTGTATTTTCCCCACAGTTGGAGTTCCTTTAAATCCACCCTTTTGTACAGTATATGGATTATGTAAGGAAGTCTTATCCCTAAATATTCAAAATATCAAGTGGGTTGTTATATAATAAAATCCCCAAGTCAAGCTCAACTCACGAGGATTTTACAGACTTCTCATTCCATTTTCTTGAAAACAATACAGAAGTGGTTTGCAATTACCTTCTTCCATTTTTCTTCAGTTTAGCCTATAGCCCTGGGATTCCCTGGCATTTCCCACCCAAATACCAACCAGGCCTGATCCTCCATAGCTTCCCACCCAGAGAAGATCAGACAGGTGCTTTCATCTGTTAAGACAATTACTATAGAGGGGAGAAGCTGAAGATGTAAGACTTTTAGCATTTTGTTGTGAAGAATCTACCCACAAATAGGAAATTTGCACCATATCACAGCTTAACGCTTTCTAACTAGAAAGGCTCAAATTAGCGCTTGAATATTCAACACGACAATACAAAGAAAAGGGTGAGCATTTGTTCCGCTTTTGTTTTAAGCAGGGTGCAGGATTGGTTTAAATCTTGTTTATCCAGAGGAAAAACACTATTAAATATACACGGTTTTACTCCTAGGAGCACCCCGGGGCAAGACAAATTTAGTTTACAACATAGGGTATAACTTAAGATTAAAGAAACAACAGCTTACATAAATTTATACCATTCTCTGCAATTACATGCTTACAGTGTTTAAGTCTAAGCAATTTCTCTTCCTTTTTCAAGCCATTCATTGTACCAGGCAATTTTAATTATCTGGGTAATTCACCGCACACAGATGAATCCAGTTTTCAACATATGCAAAATACATTTCCCTGTTTTAATTCCACTGAGCAAATGCAGCAAGGAAACTTTTTGAAGGCAGTTGCTGAACTGTTCCCTTTTTAGCTGGCCATATGCTTTACTGTTTTAATAAAATAAGGATTGATATTTAAACGCCATTTGTATTTGTTTTAAAATTGGCTTCATACTGTAATACAAACAACTAGCACTTGATTACTAAGCTTCACTACTTGCCAGCAAATTTCTAACAGAAGGTCAGAGCTGCTGAAAATTAAAATTGCTGGTGAGCACCCTCCTCCTCCCCTTAAATCTTCACAATTTAGAAAGACCTGACATCTCTTCTCAGATCTCTTCCAAAACTCTTCAAACACCTTCTGGGGCAATCCTAATTAAGAACTGTGGCTAACATGAAGACACCTTTTCATACTGATTGCCAACAGAGAGTGAGATCAACTTACCAGGATTTCAGACACACACACTAGCCCATCTGGAGATGCTAGGAAAGAAGGATTTTTTTTAGCGCAAAGTGTGCTCTGAACTTCAATCCTTTCCTACATCTTTGGAAGATCATCTCAGCTGATTTGTGGATGTCTTACGCAAATAGTAAGGGTAGCTCAAAACGAAATGTTCCCTACATCAACCCCTAGGGTTTGTAATTGTTTGTATAATTTTTAAAAGACAGAAGAAAAAGATATAAGAAGGAGGTTCAGTGGAGAAGTATCTTCATAATGTAACCAGTGTGAATATTAATAGTCTAAACAGAAAAAGAAGATTGACGTAATAACGCTCGGTATAAAGCCGTATGTATCTCTAATAACAAAGTCTAAACTGAATTTCCATTGACAATCCGGTTTAATGGCAGCAAGCCAACAAACATTAAGGCTCATGCTTAGGTAACAGAAGACTAATCATTTGCTTAAAAAAAAAATGAAATTCCACTGGTGCTCAGTGTTCTGCTCTTCATTAAACCCTTAATATTTTATAATATATGATGTTTTCTGTAAACTGTTGGCCTTTGGATTTCCTGAGGTAACCATTGCCAGATATCTCAAGCAGCGTAGTCATTTTATATAATACCACTGGAGTGTAAGACAAATTATCAACTCATGTATGATATACAGAAGAAAGCTCTGTTTATTTTTGCTCATTAAAGTATTTATATCCTGACTTTTTACTTCAGTTCCAACGGACTTATCAAACAATATAGTGTAAAATAAGTTAGAATGCCTATAAATATTAGAAAAGATATAATTCAATTCAAGGAATAAGTTGATCAGCCAACACTAACTTTTCCTGCAATCATCTTTCCCAGAGATTCTTTTCAATGATGATACCAATCACTGGACAGAATTTTTCCAAAGTGGAACAAGATTGTATTATTGGGGTTATGGAGCACAGCACAAATATTTTGAAGGAGCAGAAAAACATTTTGTCGTTTCTAACTATCCAACTTAACCCAACCATGGAGAAAAACTATTGAGAACCCAACTCTTCTCCCCCACCCCAATTCCCTATCAGATGATGACCAATCGACCAAAGAAAGCTATTAGATGAATTTGTAAACACCACTAAGCTATTAGGGAGCTTGAGTGATTTAAATTTAAAGTAGCTATTGTGACTTGTAAACAAACCATACTTTGGGGGTTAGCACGATATGTGAATCCATATGTGTTACTTATTCAACAAACCATGGTTAAACTATATCATTTTAACAAACTATAGTTAAGACAATCATGAACTGACAGTATCAGCCGGTTTCATTTGTATGTCCAGTATATCATCTTTTTCCAGATTGTTCTTGTAACTTGTCATATTTAAGTCCACATTCAAATCAATTTCAGTCGTATCCAGTACAGCTTGTTCTTATTCTGTGACATCATTAACATACCATCTATATATGGTATCAGACATTCTTAAAATTTCTGAGCCCATTGTTCAAAAATATCCCTCAAAACATCCACTGTTAAAGTATTTTGCTCCATTCTGTATTAGTAAGCCAAATCTAAGTGTTCTTTTCCTTTAATTGTAATCTTTATTTTCTTCTAGTTCCCTCTAGTGTCCAACATTCAAAGTCCCATCCTACAGTTTTATTTTTTCCAAAGAAGCCAAACCACCACCATTTTCCACTGGAAGAATTTTTATAACTAATTTCAAATTTTTATTCCAAGTCCATCTGGACCCTTGGTCTGTTTTTAACTTCCAAAATCAACACTCCAAATATCCTTTTGCTGTTTATTCCAAAAAATAATATTTTCCCAAGTCCTTGAAATCATATTTAAAACTTCTTTTTCTAAGGAGAAGGAAACTCACACAGTGAATGCAATAAAAACTTGCCACTCTGAAGGGTGTTAATAGTTCCAAAGCAATAAAAAATAATTCCAAAGTTAAGAAATGAGGCTTGAACTTTTTGTCCATAAAAGGCTGAGTTGCAACTGTGAA